ATGGTCTTCGCAATCACTTGTTATGCATCAGAGAGTTGGACAATGACAAGGGAGTTCAGAAGGAGAATTGATGCCTTTGAGCTATGGTGCTGGAGAAGAGTATTGAGAATACCATGGACTGCTTGGAAAACAAACAGATTTGTCCTGGAAAGGGTTAAACCGGGTGGCTCCTTAGCGGCAAAGATTCTGCGGCTCTGTCTAACATACTTTGGACATGTTGTGAGGAGGGACCGGTCCCTGGAGAGGGATATCATGCTTGGGAGGGTGGAGGGACAGTGCAGGAGATGAAGGCCCTCTATGAGGTGGATTGATTCAGTGATTGGGATAATTGGGATTGGAGTGTCAGAGACAGTGCAATTGGCACAGGACAGAGCGGAGTTTAGAGGTGTTGTACATAGGGTCGCTATGAGTTGCAAGCGACTCGACGGCACATAACAACAACAGCAACAATTATATAAAAATAATTACATAAAGTGAAATCTCACCACGCAGGAAGGGTTAGGATAGAATGAATGGAAATGAGAGTTAAAGGAAGGATCTAGGAAACATACTGCCACAATGAAGAAATTGTAGTTGTCATGGATTGACAACCCTGCCCAACCCCAAATAACTCCAAACTCATTGCTGTCAAGTCAGAAATATACCTTGAAATACATGTGTGTAAAGAATGATATATAACATGGCAAATAAGTAATGCCAACCAAGATCTGATAAATGAAATAGTTGTGAAAGGATTAAGGATGGAATCCCATCACAGCCCTGTAAGAGAAACTTCTCTAGGCTGTGGTTTTTATTTCACTATGGTTAAAAGGTATGGGAAGCTCTGGGGGGCGTAGTGGTAAGGACTGCCAATGCAAAGGTATGTGGTTCAAGCTCACCTGTTGCTCAGTGGGAGAAAGACGGGTAATCTCCCCTCTTTTGATTAACTGTTGTTGTTAAGTGCCATTAAGTCGTAGGTGACTCATAGCGACCCTATGAATGAAAGACCTGAGTGCTTGTATAACTTTCACCCTTTCTCCAGGTTCATAGAGTTTCCGGAGGCAAGCTGTTTTGGAAGTGGATGCCACTCCTGCTTCCAAGCTTGTTTTAATCAGGGAGCTCTACCAAACATTGTCCACCATGGGTAACCATTATTGTATTTGACACATCAGTGTCACAGTGTTTGGCTTCACAACAACCACAAGTTACCTCTGTCCAGCAAGTGGACAGACCAGGGTTATATGACCTAGAAGAATGTTTGACCAAAAACAATTGATTTACTACCTCTGAAATTCTGTGGGAGGGTCAGCCAGGGGTCCGTGTCAACTGGACGGTACACAACGACAGGGTTAAGAGGTATGGTCATCTAATGGGAAGGAGTTGTGCTGCCAGCTCACCAGATGTTCTGAGAGGTAAAGATAGGCAGTCTCTTCCCTTGTCATTTACAACCTCTGAAACCCACCTGAGTGTTAGCTGTGAGTTGGTTGCAACACGGAGGCATATAAAACAAACAACAGTGTTAAAAGGGGAGGAGAACCTCAGTACCTGCAAGAAAAAATTTCTGGGAGTGGAGTGTGTCCTTTGGGACTTAGATTTTTTTGTGAGAAAAATCCTTGACACCAGACAAGACAGAAGGTACTTCACAGGGAGCTTACAGGTTTTTTTTGTGGGTTTTTTTTTTTTTTTTAATACTTACAGCTTCTGAAGCAAACAAAGACCTTTTACCGGGGACTGATGGAGAGAGAAGACACTGGATTTTGACTTTTTCTCTTCCTCCATTGTTGTTGTTTGTTGTTGTTAAGTGCCATCGAGTCATAAGCAACTCATAGCAACCCTGTGAATGAAAAGTCCTCGACACTTGCGTGCGTGACTTCCATCTTTTCTCCAGGTTCATAGGGTTTCTGGAGGCAAGCTATTATGGAAATGGATGCCATTCCTGCTTCCAAGCTAGTTTCAGCCAGGGAGTGCCACCAAACACTGTCCGTCATGGGTAACCATTAAAACATTTGACACATCAGTGTCACAGTGTTCAGCTTCACAGCATTCACAAATTACTTCTGTACGGCAAGTGGACACACCAGGGCTATTAGACCTAGAAGAATGACTAACATAAATTTAAAACAGGCCTTAGGGCCACGGATTAGAGTCCTCCGTTGTAAGAGAATATATTTCTGTTTGTTAAAGCTGTCTACTTGTGTTATCCGTTATACCAGCATCAGGTAACCAAGACAGTAATTTATGTCATAAACCAAAATGTATGTGAATGGCTAAAAAGAATATCAATTTGCATTGTAAACTTTCACTCAAACCATCAATGCAAAGTGTAAAAGATGTGCATTTTCTGCTACCAAAGGCTTTACTTACTCATGCACCTCTATTTCTTTCCTAAAGACACTTTTTTTTTCTAACTTGAATATCTTTTGCTTTTGTAACCTTTTCTCTTTCTTTTTTTTTTTCAATTTTCAAGCTACACAGTGTTAGCAGTGAACGTAGGTGGGTTTTGTGATCTTATATAATGAAATTGTGGATCTTATATAATGAATTGTCAAATAAAGATACATGTTTAGAAGTTGAGAGAGAATCCTGAACATTTTAAAGCTTGAGGATAAACTCTTTCCAGTAGACTAGTATTGCCAAATATTCATTGGGAGCTTGCTACATTTTGCTGAATAACTATAATCAAAGTGGCAAGAATCACTCTTACCTCCAGAAAGTAGTAGTAGGAGAATGCCAATTGAGAGAAAGGATGGTAGAAACGTGCAGGAGGTCCCCATCGTGGTAGGTCTCCCCACATCAATCAATGAGAAAATAGTCACAGCCACTATCCTATATAGTGAGAGTACAAAGGATGTGGGTTTTCTCTCTTCTTTCTCAGCAATTTCAAAGTTTAGCTAGCTTGAGGAAATAAATCATGATTAAGTGAGAACAGTGAATAATTGCTCATTACAAGTAAGCAAGCTTGCCCTAGCTAGGATGAGAGTCTTGTAGAGTCAACAGATTAGTGGGGAAGAAGACTTTGTTGTCATCAGAACATAGCATAAATAATGCCCTGGTTATAAGATTTGTTTTAAGTATGTCCACAAATGGAATTTACAGGTATCTCAGAACAGGTACAAATGGTTCTTAATTAGCTTTTAGTGCAAGGAAAGACTTGAAGTCTTTTTTTATGATTTGAAATTATTTCTTTCCTTCTTTCCAGAATCAGTAGAGATACAGAATTGGGAGTCATCTCTTTTGTTCTGATACTGGAGAATGTTTCCCTTTAAGAAGTATGAATCCCAGCTGCTGAAGGAAAGTATAAAGTTTGCTTTCTAGCAAAAGGTCTTTAAACAAAGTTTTCTACAGTTAAAGATGCATTTATTATAATGTTATGTGTTACTGAGTCAACTATACTGAGGAGGACCTGAAGCTCTTGCTGCAGAAGGTCAAGAACTGCAGCTTTCAATATGGATTGAGGCTCAATATCAAGAAGACAAATATTCTCACCACTGGGTCACTTGGCAGCATCAGGATGGATGGAGATTGTTAATAGCATTAGTTTGCTTGGCTCCACAGTCGACACTCTTGGCACCAGCAGCCAGGAAATTAAAAGACACATTGTGATGGGAAAGTCTGCTGTTAGGGACCTCTCCAGAGTACTGAAAAGCAATGGTGTCACTCTGGAGACTAAGGTGCGCCTGATCCAGGCCATGGTCTTTGCAATCATTTGCTATGTGTCAGAAAGCTGGACAATGACTTAGGGAGGATAGAAGGAGAATTGCAAGGAGGGACCAGTCCTTGGAGAAGGACATCATGCTTGAGAGGGTGAAGGGACAGTATGGGAAAGGAAGACCCTCTATGAGGTGGATTGATTCAGTGACTGGAGTTATGGGAGTAGTTGTGTCAGAAACAGTGAAATTGGCACAAGACAGCAGGGTTTAGGGCTGTTGTACATAGGGTCGCTATGAGTCACAGGCAACTCAACGGCACATAACAACAACAACGTGATCAATATGACCCTGAGAACAGCAGACTTTGTGGTATCGTGCACCATCCTTGAGCTCTTCACCATGCCCAAGTCCATTGTTGCAGTCACTATGCCAATCCACTTCGTAGACAGTGTTCCTTTCTTTCACTGACCTTCTTCTTGTGTTTATTTTCCTAGGACTGTTCCTCTTCACAAAATCCCGTACGTATGTGAAATGAAATTTCTCCATTCTTGCCTCTAAGGAGCACTTTTCTGATAACCATTTTTGTCTTTCTTTATTTTCACATTTTTAAAATTAATTCTAATGAAAATTTTCAGAGACTCTGGATTTCCATTTATTCATTGTTGCACTTTTCTCTCTTCTCCTCTTTCCCTGTCCATGTACACTCTTCTCTTTGAAAAGTAAAAGAAAAATTATCTCACTGTTTTACACTCCCTCTCCCCAGGTCCACTCCATTATGCAGCCTTCGTTCTGGACTCCTGTCATGACAATAATACTTAATCACATATCCCTTTTAAACAGTTTTCTCCCTCATCTGTTTCAATGCAATATACATTATTTATCCCATCTTTCTCAGTCTCCCCCCCCCCAACCCAGATGTCAGTTATATTTTACAATAGTGGCACTATGCAGTATTTGTCCTTTTGTGACCGAGATATTTCACTCAGCATAATGTCCTCCAGGGTCACCCATTTTAAATAATATTGCATGGGTTCATTATTTTTCAATGCAGTGTAGTATTCCATTGTGTGAATATATCATGACTTCTCTATACATTCCTTTTTTGATGGGCACTTAGGTTGTTTCCAACTTCTTGTTATTGTGAACAAAGCCACGATAAACATGGGTGTGCATATATCTGCTTGGATGTCAGCTATGGTCTCTTTGGGGTATATTCCCAGTAGTGAAATTGCTGGTCAAATGGTATCTTTATTTGCAACTTTTTGAGAAGCCATACCGCCTTCCATAGTGATTGCACCATTTTATACTTCCACCAATAGTGAATACGGGTTCCAGTTTCTCCACAACCTCACTAACATTTGTTGCTTGCTGTTCTGTTAAATTTTGCTATTCTTACTGGGGTGAGATGATATCTCATAGTTGTTTTGATTTGCATCTCTTTTAGAGCTAGGAATTTCGAACATTTCTTCATGTGCTTGTGTGCCATCTGAATGTCTTCTTTGGTGAAGTGTCTGTTCATATCCTGTGCCCATTTTTTGATTGGATAATTTACCTTTATCTTGTTGTGGTGCTCAAGTATTTTATAAATTCTGGATATAAGTCCCTTATCTGACATGTCATTACCAAATACTTTTCTCCAGTCTTTGGCTTCACTTTTTACCCTGTTGGAGAAGTTTTTGGATGTGCATAGGGATTTGATTCTTAGAAGGTCCCATTCATCTATTTTATCTTCTTCTGATTGTAGATCTTTCATGATACTTAAAAGACTGTATATGTTGTGAATGAGGACTTCTAGAGTTCTTCCAAGCTATTTTCACATATTTTTAATGATATTTTCCTTTTCCATTAAGATGTCTTCCCAGAACTCATCTCTTTGCATCTTAGTGTTAGTTAGTCTTGAATACACCAGATATATTTGCGTGTGTCTTTTTTTATTTACTTTTTTAGATTGTGATTTCATTTTGTAGAATATTTTGATTCCTTGTTTTTCAGTGCTACATAGTATTCCATTGTGTGAATATTCCATAGTTTTTTTTATCCATTCATTTGCTAATGGGCACTTGGGTTGTTTCCATCTCCTTGCTATTGTGAATAACATAGTAATAAACCTGGGTGTGCATATATCTGTTTGGATGGCAGTTCTGGTTTCTTTAGTATATATTTCTAGAAGTGGAATTGCTTGGTCAAATGGTATTTGTTATTTCCAACGATTTGAGAAAGCACTGTACTGCCTTCCATAGTGTTTGCACCATTTTACCCTCTCACCAGCAGTAAATAAAGGTTTCAATCTCTCTACAACTTCTCCAGCATTTGTTGTTTGCTGTTCTGCTGAACTTTGTTATTGCTACTGGAGTGAGATGATATCTCATATTTGTTTTTATTTGCATCTCTCTTAGAGCAAGGGATTTTGAACATTTCTTCACGTGTTTGTTTGCCATCTGATGTCTTTTTTGGTGAAGTGTCTGTTCATATCCTGTAGCCATTTTGTGATTGTATTGTTTACTTTTTCTTATTGAGGTGCTAGAGAATTCTGTAAGTTTTAGATATGAGTCCCTTAGCAGATATGTCACTACCAAATATTTTTCCTAGTCTGTGAGTTTTCTTTTCATCCTGTTGGAGGAGTTTTTTTGATGTGCCTAGGGATTTGATTCTTAGAAGGTACCATTCATCTGTATTTTTCCTTCCTGGTTGTAGGTTTTTCATTATGTTTGGAAGACTGTTCATTCCATGGATTAGGGCTTCTGGAGCTCTTCTGAGATTTTCTCTGATGAAGTTTATTGTCCTTGAATTTACTCTTAGGTGTTTGATCTACTTTGAGTTGGTTTTTTTCTGTATGGTGTGAGGTCTGAGTCTTGCTCAAGTTTTCCACAAATGGTTTTCCAATTTTTTTTAATGTTAAATTTCTTCTCTTATTTATTTTTTTATTTGGTTTTCCAATTTTGCCAACACCGTTTGTTAAAGAGACTTTCGTTTCCCCACTTAACTGTTTTCATCTCCTTGTTTAAAACCAGTTGAACATAGGTAGGTGAGCTAATTTCTGGTTTCTCAATTCTATCTCATTGATCTTTGTGTCTGTCACTGCACCAGTACCACACTGTCTTGACCACTATGGCTGTACAGTTGACCACCATGGCTGTATAGTATGATTTGAAATCAGGGAATAAGATGCTTTCTACCTTGTTCCTCTTTTTCAGGGACACTTTACTTATTCAGGGTCTCTTTCCAGGTGAAATTGGAAGTTGCCTTTTCTATCTTGTTGAAGAATGGAATTGGCATTCATATTGGGATCGCACTGAACTTGTAGATTGCCTTTGGTAGAACTGTTGTTTTCACAATATCGAGTCTTCTTATTCAAGAGCACAGTATATTTTCCAATTTCCCCAGGTATCTTTTTGTTTCTTGTAGTAACGTTTTGTAATTTTCTTTGAATTGATACTTTGTGTTTTTGGGTTAGATTTACTCCCAAGGATTTAATCTTATGGTTAGCTATTTTGATGTATATTTTTTAAAGCTTCATTTCTGCATTCCCTTTGTCAATGAAGAGAAGTCCAATTGATTTTTATATGTTGATTTTGTATCTTACTACTTTACTAAATTGGTCGACTATGTCCAGTAGTTTTCTTTTTGAGTCTTTAGTGTTTTCCAAATATACTATCATATTATCTGCATATAGAGATAATTTTACCTCCTCTTTGTCAATTTGGATACCTCTTATTTCCTTCTCTTGTCTTAATTGTTCTCCCTAAGTCTTAAAATACAATATTGAATAGGAGAGATAATAATGGGCTTCCTTGCCTAGTTTCTGTTCTCAAAGGGAATGCCTTTAATCTCTCTCCACTGAACACAATGTTGGCTCTTGGTTTTGCAGATATACTTTTCACTATGTTGAGGAAATTCCCTTCTATTCCTATTTTTCTGAGTGTTTTAATAAGGAAAGGGTGTTGGTTTTGTCAAAGGCCTTTTCTGCATCAATTGATAGGATCATGTGGTTCTTGTTCTTTGCTTTGTTAATGTGATGAATTACACTGACTGTTTTTCTTATGTTGAACCATTCTTGCATACCTGTTATGAATCCTACTTGGCCACAGTGAATTATTTTTTTTTAATGTACTGTTGGATTCTAT